GAATGGTGTTATTTTTTTCTGGTTTAGAAAAGATAGTGATAGATACATGATAGACAGCAAGTTAAACATGAGCCAACAATGTGATGAGGTGGCAAAAAAGCCAATGGGACTTTGGCCTGCATCAATAGGAGCATAGTGTCTAGATCTAGGGAAGTAATGCTACCCCTCTATTCTGCTTTGGTTAGACCACATCTGGAATATTGTGTCCAATTCTGGGCACCACAGTTGAAGAGAGATATTGATAAGCTGGAATGTGTCCAGAGGAGGGCGACTGAAATGATCAACCGTTTGGAGAACAAGCCCTATGAGGAGCGAATTAAAGAGCTGGGCATGTTTAGCCTGAAGAAGAGAAGGCTGAGATATTCATTGAAAAACTAGAGCAAAATGTGCTACAGAATGTCCCACAAAAACAAAGTTTTGGTAGTGTAATAAACTGTTTCCATGTTTTTATGATTCATTAGCAAATGAGATTATGATTAGGAACAATGGCTTCAAACTACAGGAAAGCAGATTCCAGCTAAACAGTAGAAAGAACTTTCTGACTGTGAGAGCTGTTCAGCAGTGGAACTCTCTGCCCCAGAGTGTGGTAGAGGCTCCTTCTTTGGAAGCTTTCAAATAGAGGCTGGATGGCCACCTGTCGGGAGTGCTTTGGATGCAATTTTCCTGTTTCTTAGCAGGGAGTTGGACTGGATGTCCCATGAGGTCTCTTTCAACTCTATGATTCTATGATTCTACGAGAGTGATAGATATAGGTAATGAGATGAAAGAAAGGAAACAATAGAAATAAAGACAGAGGGAGAGTTAAATAAATGAAAGAAAGGGAGTGATAGATATATAGAAAGTTAGACAGATAGATAGATGGACTAGATGATAAAAAGGGGGTGGCAGATATAGTTACAGATAGATATAGAAAGTTAGAGATAGATGGATGGATAGATAGTGATAGATGACAGAAAAAGCTAGCGATATAGATCAGCCAGTAGACGGTTAGGAATTGTGGGAGTTGATGTCCGAAACACCTGGCGGGACCAAGTTAGCCCATGCTTGATATCATGGTCGATAATAGAAAGGGGGCAACAGAGATCTAGGCAGAAAGTGGGGTGCTGTTATCCCTCTGAGCGGCCTGCCTTGTACCTGGGGGCCTCGGCCTGTTGATCTGGACAAAACTTGGCACAAAAACTTATTATTTATTGATTTACATCATTTTTATCCCGCCCGTTTCAGCTCAAAGGCTACGCAGGGCAGCGTACAAACCGGCAACAATTAGATGCCACATATATGTACAATTAGATGCCACACACACATGCATATATATACATATATAAAGCAATTAAATCACACCATAAATACATATAAATCTATAAAAGCTATAAAACTATAAAAATCTATTTAAAAAACAATGTCTTCCAGTCCAATTCCTCATCATTATGCCCAAATCTGAACATTGGTGGAGTTTGGGGAAAATAGACCTCAACATTTGGGAGTTGTAGTTGCTTGGATTTATAATTCACCTACAATCAGAGAATTCTGGACTCCACCAATGATGGAATTGAACCAAACTTGTCACACAGAACTCCCACATCCAACAGAAAATACTGGAAAGGTTTCTTGGTTTTGGGGGTTTTTTTCGTTTGTTTTTTTTTTTGCTCCTGCAGTCACTGCAGGAGACTATTATTATTATTATTATTATTATTATTATTATTATTATTTGAAACACAACAAGATGAATCCACAGCAGACACTCTGCTGGCTGTTGTATTGGATCACACATCGGACACTTCCCAAGTGTCTAGGACTGTGTGATGTATCAACGAATAATGCATGCAGATCCCAGTAAGGTAGCCTTTTGCAGCTGGCAGATGGTAATCTTGTCAGCACCAATTGTGTTTAAGTGCAGGCCATAGTCTTTAGGCACTGCATCCAGAGTGCCGATCACCACTGGGACCACCTCGACTGGCTTGTGTCAGAGTCTTTGCAGTTTGATCTTTAAATCCTCATATCACGTCAGCTTTTCCAGTTGTTTCTCTTCAATCCTGCTGTCACCTGGGATTGCCACATCAACAATCCATACGTCGTTTTGTAACATGATCGTGAGGTCAGGAGTATTGTGCTCTAAAACTCTGTCTATCTGAATCTGGAAGGTATTAAACGGTTGTGTTGTTAAAGTGCAAAGTATTGAACCCTGCACAGATGGTTGGTCAATGTGATTTAAGCAACGTACAGTCACTGAATTCTTGACAGCAGAATGTGTCAACATCTTTAAACATACTCATCTAATGACACATTACTCAAATCAACACAATCACCACAAACAGCTTGCATTCTCTGGTGAATCTCCTTTGGGGTGACACCTTCTGCTGTCAAGAATTCAATGACTGCACGTTTCTTAGGTTGCATTGATCGACCGTCTGCGCAGGGTTCCATACTTCGCACTTTAACAACACAACCATTCAATGCTAAGGCTTCCTACCAAAATGGAACTGTAGAGTAGAGTCTACTGAACAAGCCAGTACCTGCCACATACCAGTACTGCCATCTGTTGAGGAACTACGAAGGTGGAGACATTACTTTTCATTCAACCTCATAGTTTAGGGTTTTATAGGAGATGACCAGCACTTTGTATTTAGCCTGGAAGTGGACCGGCAGACAGTGGAGCTGACACAGCATGGGAGTCGTCCTCTCACGATACGGCGCTCCAGTTAGCAATCTAGCCACTGATCTCTGCACTAATTGCAGCTTCCAAACTATTTTCAAAGGCAGCCCCACATGGGGACATTGCAGCAGTCCAAACTGGATGTGATTATGGCATGGGCTGCCATAACCATTGTACTAGCAAAACATACTGTATCATAGAAGCGTCATGTCCTTTTCTCATGAACTGTTGTCTCTTACTTCTCTTACTTCTGACAGCTCTACCTTGCCCTGAGAATAGTCAGTACAAGCCCTGTGGACCGCCATGCCCAGCTACTTGCAATGATCCAGCTGGTCCCGAACTGCTGGACAGCTCTAGTGCTGACACACTTTACAAAGCCCCAGAGCACGGGTGGACAGAAGGTAAATAAGCAACCCTCACCGCATAAACCACATCGTTACCATGGGAATGCCTACTTTCTGCCCCTTTGTTTCCATTTTTTGTTCCTTTCCAGTGCTCAGGGCCATCATTTTAATCATGCACGAGTAATTGCAGTGTAAATTCACATGGCTTTATATATGGTGTGCATGCAAGTCAGAGATAAATGCTATAATTTAAAAACGCTACCATTGGCAACCATGACATCAAACACAATTGTGATCTCACTTATTGGCTTAATGCTTACAGCAATAGCAAATTCATCCCTTATATATACTTTGCCATTTATTTATTTATTTATTTCTGACATTTATATGCTGCCCTTCTCACCCTGAAGGGGACTCAGAGCAGCTTACAAGATATATATATATACATACAATACATTATATTATTAGCATAATACAATAACAGTATTATATATTACTACATTGTACTATACCATTATATTGTAATATTATTAGTAATATTAAATAATATATAAAATATATAATTATAATATATTATTAGTATTATATTGTGTTACATTATAATATTATAAATATTATACGTATATACAATATATTATATTATATTACATTATATTATATTATTAGCATAGCACAGGAGGCAAGATATATCTGCTTTGACAAAGACTAAAGGTGCAATGTCTTCTGAACTAGGAATCCATACCAGGGAATGATGTAAATAGCTACTGGGTAGCATGGCTGGGATCCAAGTAAATCTCAGACAACTACACAATATGAGAACTGCAACAAAGAAAAAGGATTTGGGAATAAAGAAGATTTTTGGGATAAAATACAGAGTGGGGGAAACAAGATAATCACAAAAATTTATAGCAAACTGTTAGATTGGGCGACTGAAAGGGAAGTCATAAAAGATTCAATGATTCGATTGGGCCAAAAATTCGATGGGCCAAAAATATCGGGAGGACAATTCGACTTGAAGAGTGGGAAGAAATATGGACAAAGAGACTGAAATATACCTATGCATCCGACCTTCAAGAAAATTGGCTAAAGATGCTACATAGGTGGTATATGACTCCCCAAAAATTGAACACTATGTATAAACAGGTTGACAATAAATGTTGGAAATGTAAGAGCCGAGAAGGAACATTCTACCACCTTTGGTGGTCGTGTGAAAAAATTAATAAATACTGGAAAACGATCCATACAGAATGTAAAAAAATACTAAAAATGGAAATCCCATTAAGGCCAGAGATGTATTTATTGGGTATGTTCGACTCGGATATATTTAAAGATAAAAATAAAGAGAAACTATTTACCTTTTTTGCCACAGCTGCAAGAATGGTTCTAGCTAAACTGTGGAAACAGGAAAAAATCCCCCAAAAAATGGACTGGATTAAAAAAAATCACTGATATTAAAGATATGGATGAATTGACATATTGGTTAAGACAAAGTAATGGACGAGGTATGAAACCAACAGACTGGAAACTTATGGAAGAATATATTGAAAGGAGAGATTGGATAAATGAAATTTAAATAAGAGAGTGTGAAGTAATGTATATAATCCCCTTGTTAACATATTAATAAATGAAGCTGGAATGAAGAAGTCAAAAGGGGATGACAGAAAAAAAATTAGAGGAAAGTAAGAAGAAGGGAAGTCACACTAGGGTGTAGGTTAGGGTGTTGTTTATGTTTTGTGTCTTTTGCGGGTTTGGAGGATTTTGTGTGGTGAGGGGGAATGTAAGTGTCTTTCATGTCAATTTTTGGTGAAAATTCAATAAAAAAAATTTTTTTTAAAAAAAAGAACTGCAACTTTTACTCCCCTTCTTGCTGTCTTTTCTTTGTCTTCCCACAATTCCTATCCATTCCCAGATGGATTCATTCTCCTTCTTTGAACCCTTTTCTACCAAGGACTTACTTTGTACCTGTAATTTAACATCTTCCCTCCCTTCTTTCTGTCTTACAGTCTTGCCATGCTCAGAAAATAGCCATTATGAGTTCTGTGGGAATGCCTGCACAGCTACCTGTTCTGATCGCACTGCTTCCTCTTCATGCCATGAACCATGTGTGGAAACCTGTCAGTGTGACGACAAGTGTGTGCCCATTGGGAGCTGTGGCTGCACCTACAATGGCTTCTACTATAAACCCGGGGAGGAATTCTGGGCTGATGACAACTGTGAATCTCACTGTACGTGTGATTCCAGCCTGGGGATAGTGGTGTGCAAACCAGCCAGCTGTAAAGCTAATGAGAAGTGTGCAGTGGACAATGGCGTCCGAGGCTGTCTTCCTGCTGGGTTTGCTACTTGTTTAGCATCTGGAGATCCGCACTATACCACTTTTGATGGGAAAAGATATGATTTCATGGGGACCTGTGTCTACCAGCTGGTAGGCTATTGCGCTGATGACCAAACCCTTACACCTTTCGCCGTTGATGTGGAAAACAACAACCGAGGCAACAAAAAGATGTCCTACACTAAAGTGGTAACTTTGAAGACTTATAATGTAACCATTGTCCTGAGCCAGGAGCATCAACGCAAGATTCAGGTATTGACAAGAGGGAAATGAGTGGATATATATGGAAGTTTTTGTATCAAGTGAGGGGAGGGGTTGGGGATACCTGTGGTTATTGATACATAGTTCCTCCATTCTGATGGCAAGCAGACCCAAGTTCATGAACTTCCTACACTGAAAGTAATGAATTTCTTAGGATGGGAAGAATTTACCTGTCTACAGTGTTCTTTGATATACCAAGGGGCTTGTCTATTCCAGTAAAAAAAAAAAACCATAGTGGCTCAGAAATCACTACTGAATATCTAAATGACATCCACACACTTATGGACCTTAATGCAGGGTAAACCATATCGACCAGTTTAGCTCCTTACTTAGGAACGTAAAGGAATGCTGTCGATTTTCAATGAAATTTAGCCACACAAGGCCATCTCCTTTTCCCTGGATGTATCAACACAAGGAAAGGGGGATGGACTGGGTCCATGTCACCATAGGC